TTAAACAGACCAGCCTCAGTCCTCTGGCCACTTTATTTCGCCTCCCTGTTTCCTCTCAACACACTCATCTGTACAACGGGAGAGATAATACCTACGACACAGTACTATTGTGAGGAGCAACCAAGTTAATGGACATGACAGTGGTTTATGTACTGGAAAGTTCTCTGCATCTGTTAGCTATTGATATCACTTTAATAATTAAAATTAGGCTTAGATAAGAAGCCTGTGTGTGAACTCACAGGCCTTTGGAGCCCAAAGTAATGATGGAGCTTTTGTTCCGTCTTCCTTGAGGGGGTGGGCCTGAGGGCGCAAGTCTCTCTCACCTGGTGCCTTTCTCCACCAGAGCATCACCCCGGGGCCTGCGAGTGCTCACCCAGGTGTAACTCAGGTGCACTTGCATCACGCTAGATGCCGCAGGCCCCTGGATCTCCAGCCCTGAGCGACAGACACCCACAGGGGTTTGACCCTGATCACTGAGCCCTGGAATCAATCCAGTTCATGAAAATCCTTTTCTGCCTGTAGTGTGGCCCATTTTCCAAATGCAAAGAGATGCTTATATGATCTCTAAAATTAAATTCATTTAAGAGCATTTCTTGTGTTCTCTGTGGCTTCTAATCATTATGGAGTCTCAGTCAATAGATATAAAAACACAACCACCACCTGCAGGAGGGTGGGAGTTTTGTTGTTGTTGTTTTACTGTTAAAAAGTGGCTTTGTTTCCTGGGAAGGGGAAAAAAAAGGCGGAACTAAATGTCTGTCTCTTCCTCATATGAACACGGCTGGATGGATTTTTGTCAAAGGCACAGGGTAATATGGAAGAGTGTGACTTAAGATATAAACCATGTGGCATTCACAGAATTTACCTCGTGGGGAACACAGTAGCTGAAACTGGGTTACGACAAGGGGAGAGGAGATAAGGGGGAGACAGCCAATGTGGAGACCTGGGTCGTGCATGGCCAGGGCAGGGAGTGGAACTGCAGGGACACACTTAAGGCTGGCGCGTCTTGCTGGATGCCGAGGGCAGCATGTGCCCGGTGGTACCTTTTTGGGCTTCACGGTGAGCGGGCACACCTCCCGAGTCAGGTCCATGTGGCACAGGTCCTGGGAGCCGTAGCCGTTGACGCAGTAAGCGTCGTAGCCGGAGCCGATGAGCATGGAGCAGAGCAGCGTGCTGAAGTCGAAGCAGTTGCCCTTCTGGTACTTGATCACCGTGGTCGGGGAGTACAGGTGCGAGGGCTGGCCGTGGCGGGCTGGTCAGCACCGCCGGGCCCGCCGCCTCCCACCTGCCCTCCCCACGAGCTAGGGCCCATGCAGGCTGGACCCCAGCAGGGCTCCTCACCTTTGCCGGGTGAAGGAGCCTGGTAAGAATGGGATGAAAACCACAGACCCCCCTATCCAGAAAGTGCCACCTACATTTGCCTATAATTTGGAGGGGCCATGGCTTCCTGAGGGGAAAGACCTCCTGGACTGTAGAAGCGTCTGGTCTAATGCTCTCTGATGGGCAATTTCAGGGTTTTATTTCAAAGTTGCCCTCGCCGTCTCCCCGCCTTCTTTTCCTTCTCTTCCCTTTCTCAGTTCTCCACTGTGGACCTATCCCTCCCGCCCTCCCTCCTTTCTCAATGACAAGCCAATTGAGCTGAACAGAAGCTCAAAACGAAGCTACTGGCCCTGAGCAGCAGGGCCCGCCCCTCTCTCTCTCTCCTTTCACCACCTCCTGATGTTGTGAAAGGAAGACTCTGAAGGCAGAAAGAGGCAAAGGAAGCAAAGAGGTGGAAGCCAGGAGACCAGGCTTGCTGTGTGACCTCAGGCAAAAGGCCGCCTTTCTCTGGGCCTGTTCTCCCACCCCCACCCTCCACCCCCCACCCCCAGACAGACTCATAGGCTGTGGCCTGAGCCCTACTGAGCCTTTGTCTCCAGATGTGCCTGGCTTTCCATCCTACGCCTCACAGGCCTAGGGATGTGGCCCAGAGTGGCACCTACCGGCTTGAGGGGGTCAGACAAGGGCACCATGGAGAGGAAGTCTGCAACAAACTGGGCGCAGCTATCCCAGTTGTAGAGCTCGGGGTAGGGCATCAGCGTGGGCCGGATGGTTGTGCTCACGAACTTCTGCAAGGGGAGAGACCACAGGCCCCTGGGAGGGCATTCCACCCGGGAGGGGAGCACAGCGCTCCCGGGAAGCTGGAGACCTTGGGTTGGGGGTGTGCTCTTTGGGCCTCAGGCTCCTTCTTGGTACCTTGGCCGTTGGAGGAAGGGGTCCCCCAAAGCCCTTCCGGCCCAGATACCGAATAAGCTTGTGCTGTCCCTAGGTGCCAGGGATGAATCAGGGCCTCCATGTCATCACCATTCTCCCACTGGGTACCAGCAGACCTGGCGTCACCTCCCCAATCCCCAATCACCCTGTGAGGTAGGTCCCATGGACAGAGGAGGAAACTGAGGCTCCAGGAGGCGAGCTGACTGGCTCAGGCTCACCTGGTGTGGGGGATGCAGTGTTACTTGAGGGGCTGCTCTGCTACCCGGGGCCTGTAGGCCAGGCCTCCAGGCTCTCCCTGCAGGTTTGAGGAAGGCCCCACCAACACCGGGTCTCACATGGCCCCACCTAAGGGGCAGCCCCGGTGCAGCCCCTGCTGACTGCTGCAGAAGAAATGCAGGCCTGGGGTCACCAGACAAGAGGAGAGTAGGAATCTGTATGGGAATCACCAAGCTTCAAATGCTAGCAGCTAATACATATGTTAAAAATCACCATGTGGGCCAAATAAAACAGTCTGGGAGCCACTTTACAGCCTTTGGATTCATCCTATGCCAGTCTGTCACTCCATCTACAGATGGGGAAACTGAGGCCCAGAGTGGCTCAGAGACATGCCCTGGGTCACAGGGCTGGAAGGTAGGAGTGCAGGGCTTGGGTTCTGGGGCCCATCCCAGTCATTTTGTCTTATTTCTTTTTCCTCCCCTGAACAGGGCCGGCCTCTGGGCCTGGAGCCTGCACTGGGCACCCAGCTGCCCCGTAGGAGGGGCGTGGGGTCTCCAGGCCACCACAGCCCCCAAGGCTGATTCACACCAAGCCTGCTGGGGCCTGCTGGCATTTGAGGGTATGCTGCTCCCGGACTATAAGCTCTGGCCCACAAGAGCGTTGTGCTTGGGCTCCCTCTCCCTCCACCCTCTGCTATCGAGCCCCCAGCCCTGCCCTACAGACCCGGCCTTACGGGCACTTGGCATTCGTTCAGTGGGCGCAGGAAGAGGGGCACGCGGTCCGGGCACAGGTGGCTGTACTGGAGGGAAAAGTTGTCTGCCACCTGCAGCAGGTGTTCCTCCTTGAGCGTGTTGCTTTGGTAGGAAAGGGGCAGCTTGGAGGTGTCGATAGTGTCCTCGGTAATGATCCTGTGCCCGCAAAAGAGATAGCATTAATTAGTCCATGTGAGGCCAGGCCTGACATTCAGGGAACCCTCGATCCACTTTAGCTGCCCTGGGCTCTATCTCTTCCATGTTTAATCCTCACAGCTACCTAGGAGGGAAGTATCCTTATTAGAATCTGAATTTTTAAACAGATAAGGGAACTGAGGCACAGAGATTGAGTGACTTGCCCAGGGTCACACAGCTAGTGAGGCGGGAAGAGTGGGACCAGGCAGTCTGAGAACAGAGCCCTCACTCTGAACTGCTCTCTCTATTCCTCGTCCTGCCTCCCAGCCCAGGTGTCCCCGTTCTGCCTGGCTCCTTCACCCAGCCTTGCTCTGACCCTCTCCAGGGCGGCTGGGCCCGAAGCCTCCACCTCCGTACTTACGAGCCTCTTTCAGGGACGGTGACCTCAATCTCCGACAGCCTTTTCTCCAGGTCTCTGAGCATCTCCTGCGTCATGATGGTGCCCTCCTTCCGGACCTCCGGTGGCCTCATTATCTTCTCGCCCCTCTCCGCCCGCTCAGCTGCCTCCTCTCGTTCAGCTGCCTCTTCCTCCTCCACTTTCTCCCTCAGGACCTCCATTCTGGCGCGTCTCCGACTGTCTAGAGATGCAGACTCTGCTAGAGGGATACACGCACTCAGAACGGCCAACTTCAGACCAGGAAGGAGCCACCAAGACCACCTGTGTCCCTGAGCTGTGATTTTCAGTGTTTTAGATCACGGAGGGAGGAAGCGAATCTCTCTTAAACTTCCTTTCCATTGAGGAGAAAGACTCCGCTTGGTGCTAGCATGTCTGCAACACCTTTTCAGCATTCACCAATCTCTCTTTCAAACAAGGACAGGCCGTCCACAGCTTGAGAACTATTGTGAGGGCAGGACTGGGTAGCCCAAACTTACTAACATCGCTTGGCCTTTTGCATGGTTATTCTGACAGTACCTTCTCTTTACGGCAAGTGATGCTAATACCGAAGGGATTACTTTAATATTATAAAATGTCCTATTTAAATATATTTATGAAGCCCAACAAGTGAATTGGTTTAAAGAAAATTATTCATAATAGTAAGGCGATATGGAATACAACAAAAAGAAGGTAACATCATCAAACTTGGAACTGAGGGACGGAGGGGGCAAAGACAGGGCTGCCACTGAAGCACCTGGATAAAGGGCAGGAATGTGTCAGCCCACAGATGAAGGTCATTTGGGAGCCACCCTGAAATGCCATATGTGCTCGTGCGCCCTTGTCTGTGGTTACAGAGCAAAGCCTCATGGAGGTGAACCACTAGTTTCCTACCCAAAGATCCAGTCCCCCTTTCCATACAACAGAACCCCAGTGTTACTGGGGGCAGCAATGAGCCTGGTTTGAAATGTTCAGCTTCCCAGCCTTCCTTGTAGCTGGAGTCAGACCTGTGATGTAAACCCCGTTATGGCCCCTGAGATGTCATTCAAGGTTGCTGGATATTAAAGGACAGGGCTCAGCTGGCCCAGACTCTCGGCCCTTCTCCTCCTGACTGGGACAGAGATATAAAGCGTGAGGTGGGGCAGCCGATGCATGACGACGAGATGACCACCCACGAGGACCAAAGCTGACAGCTAAATATGGCAGAGTGACGAGACAGATGGAGCCATGGTCCCAAGAGGCGTAGTGGAGGCCTCGAGTGCCACCTCCTGACTTCCCATTATGTGAAGAAATTCAGCCTCTGCTTCTTTAAGCAGGTTCCTGTTATACCGTCCCAGCTGATCCCCCCGTTTCCTGCTTCCCAGCTCATGTCTTTCCATCACCCCACCTCAAATATCTATATATTTTTAACCAACAAACAGGGCAAATGTCCAAAGAGCAGGAGAACCGACCTAATGCACAGGTTATAATGGGAGGGGATGGTGAGGACTGGGGAGAAAAGAGCAGGCTCTCCCCAGGTTTGTCATCACCCCCTGGGGTGGAGCCAGGACCAAGAAGCTGGGCCCTCCTTCCCTGCTGCAACCCTTACTCGGGCCGCCGTGGCTTCTTGGGGGGGCTAGTCACTGACCACCAGCCTGGCTAGGGGGAAACTTGGCTCTATCACCAGCTCCTGCAGGGCTCTTGGGCTACTCCCTGCCCCTTTCTGGGCCCCAGTTTCCCCTTCTGCAATATGAAAAGAGGGACAGACATTTTCTGTCTGATGCTGGCATTCTGTAGGACTCAGGGGGCGCTGAACACATCTGTTGCTTTGCTGGAGGTCAGCCCACCCTAGTCAACATCACACCCGAGGCCTCGTGTCCAGCAGGCCTGTTCAGAACCCCAGTTCCCTGCAGCGAACCTTCTGCTGTGCCCACCAGCCAAGCAACACAGCCTGGTCATTAGATCCAATTGTCTGCTTCTTGGGCACAGGGAGGACAAGCTCAGAGAGGGTAATAACTATTAAAGGCACTTTCAGTTTACTGAACACCTACTGAGTCCCAGGCACTGTGCTAACTAAGGGTTGTACAGAGATAATCTCATTTATCCGCTAATGACTCTGTGAGGCAGACACTATTATGATACCCACTTTGTAGAGGAAAAATTGAGGCCTAGGACAAGGGGAAACTGCCTAAGGTCACAGAGCTAGTAAGTAGCAAATCTGGGATTTGAAACCCATGCACTTAAGGGCCTAATGAAATGGGGAAGTCTCAGAAGGATGGTGTGGGGTGTGGGGGGAAGAAGTAGGATGGTGAGAGGGTCAAGGTGTCAGCAGGAAGCAGGGGGCTACAGCTGGGGCAGCCACTGAGATGGGCCCTGAGCCTAAGGTCCCAGAGCATGGTCATCAGAGGCAGCGATGGGCCAGAACTCTTAATACTTTGTTCCCCACAGAGTATTGGGCTGTCTTGTCAGTTACAGCACAGTCTGGGGAGGGCAGTCCTGCCTCAAAGTTCCCCAGACCCTACCCAGAGGCCCAGAGGCCCTCCCCACCGCCACAGGCCACTTTCACACCCTCCTCCCCAGAAGCGACCTCCTCCTCCCCAACACACACACACACACACACA